CGCCTCAGCCGGAGGAGACTTTCTTCTCGCCCGCCCACGCAGCTTCGCCTCGCCCGCACGCACGGCACGCACGAACACGAAACCGAAACCGATTTCCGGGTAGGCGGGCTCTCCGTTCCACTTCGATCTCACCCCCTCACCTCCGATTTATAGATATATGTGCATATATACAAAAATATGTGTGTGTGTGTGACTTTGGGTATAAGTACAAACTACACACAAACTTTGCGGGCTCGTTTCGCTTCGCCTAAATCTTGGTCCTGCGTCCATGCACCCCCAACCACTCGGTGGATGGGTGGTTGGTGAAATCAGATGATGACCATGAGGGGGGTCACGGTCGTCATCCCAGAACAAGCCACAGGCATGTCTTCGGCTGGGGAGAAAGGGCATCGTGGGTGAAGGTCACGAGGTCGAAAACGTATGTCCATGGGTGCGCGTAGGGACAGCGAGCATTGGGAGCGGGGTGGATGAGAGCGTCGTCGGAGAGGAGCTGGGGTCGGTGCGACGAGGGGCGACGCTGATGACCGCAAAGGGGGTGAAGGTTATCGCTCGGAGAAGGGCTGGCGAGCCTCAAGTCTCTGTCGTGGTCAAGGCTTCAAAGCTTCTTACGTGCCTCTGCGCCTTCTAACGACCTCTTGGAAGCCTCTGGGGCGTTTTGGGGGCCGCGTACACCGAATCCGAATCGATCAAGAAGTTCGGAAAAAATCGTTGATTTGTACATCTCGCGGCCCTCTTGGTCGTTCCGTGGCTGGTGGACGACGATGACGACGACTAATGTCCGCCTTTTCCGGAGGTGGCCTGGGTGTTCTTTGGACGCCTTTAGGGACGGTCTCAGGCTCGAGTGGGCTTTAAGGGGACAAAGCGCTCACTGCGCCGACTGGCCTACGGCTGGTCGACGACGATGGGGCAAACATAGAAGACGATGGCGAAATGGAAGGTGGATCAGAAGATGCAGAGCAGGAAGCGAATGGGGAGGGCAAGCAGCAGCAAACTGATGTACGCTCGTTTTGGAGGTTGCCTGGGTGTTGTATGGGCGCCTTTAGGGCGGGTCTCAGGCTTGAGGGGGCTTTAGGGGACCGTGGCGTTCACGGCGCCGACTGGCCTGCAGCTGGCCGAAGCGAGTAGAAATGAGCTGTCTCGGCGGAGAAAGCGGCGGCCGCCCGACGAAGCGGGGACGCGGACGTGACCGCGAGGGGGGCCGTGGTAATGCCGCCAGGGCCGTCGTGTCGCCATGGCGGCACACCCCCTGACCTGGACCGTGAGTTCGGGGCGTCTCGGGTGCCCGTCGGGGCCTCGCAAGCGTATTTCTGTGGGGCCTCCGAAGCCCTGCGTGGCTCGTGCATCGGGGGCCTTCGGAGGCCTTCCTGGGAACGCCGTGCAGGACGTAGACGCGAGACCTCCCATACTGTACGCTTCCGGGGGCCAAGTTGGAAGCTTTCTGGGAGCCTCGGGGAAGCATTTTGGGAATCTCTGGGGGCCTCTGGGGCCTTCTTGGGGATCCTCTGGGGGCCCTTTTGGTCCGGCTGGGGGACCTCTTGGGCCGTCTTGGGGTGCTTGGGCCGTCTGTGGGCCTCTTGGGCCGTCTAGGGGGCCTCCTATGGCCCTCTTGGGGCTTCCTTGGGACCCTTCTGGGGCCCTCTGGGACCTGTCTTGGGCAGTCTTCGGGTCCTCTTGGGCTGTCTTGGAGCCCTCTTGGGCCGTCTTGGGGCCCTCTTCGGGGCCTCTTGGGTTGTCTTGGGACGATCTTGGGGGCTTCTTGGGCCGTCTTGGACGCAGTGAAGACCGAATAAGCGAATCTTCTAAACATATACGTGCCCCGCCAGGAATGCGACGATTCTTACCTCTTCGGGGCCCTCGTGGGGGCGTCGTGGGCCGTCTTGAGGGCCTCTGTGGCCGTGTAGAGACCGTCTTGGGCCCTCTTAGGCCATTTTAGAAATATCTTAGGGTGCCTTGGGAACATCTTGGGCCATCTTTGGGGCCTCTCGGGCCGGTGTGGGGGACGTTTTCGGCTGTCCTGGAGCTCTTCCGACAGGTGTCCCGGGGCTGGTGAGTACCGTCCCATACGTATGGGTGGGGGCGACCATCTGGGGGGGTGTCTATGCAGGATATGTAATTCAAAGAAGATGCATGTGTATGATGTATGTATGTATGTATGTATGTATGTATGTATGTATGTATGTATGTGTGTATGTATGTATGTATGTATGTATGCATGTATGTATGTATGTATGTAATTATGTATGTATGTATGTATGTATGTATGTGGTATGTGGTATGTATGTATGTATGTATGTATGTATGTATGTATGTATGTATGTATGTATGTATGTATGTATGTATGTATGTATGTATGTATGTATGTATGTATGTATGTATGTATGTATGTTGTATGTATGTATGTATATACATACATACATATAATATAATATGCGCACCGCTCCTTGGCCCAGGCCTGGGCCCAGCCTGGGGCAGTGGATATGTACACATCGCGCTGCCATGCCTCATCTTGCTGATGAGCGGCGTCGCGCCGGTGATCGAGGCCACGCTGCTCGACCGGCGCACGAGCCTGGGCGCGGGCACAGCGCGGGCGGGGGCTGCGGGCGGAGAGCACACTCTCTCTCCGCACCCTGGCTCCTGTCGGCGGCTCAAAGAATGTTTTTTTTGTTTTAATTTGTTGAACCGCCGAAGGTCGGCGGTTCAAAGAATGGGGGAGCTGAGGGATGGGGCCATGAGGACGAGAGCTGCAGTGGAGGCTTGGCTTGCTGTCCACTTCCTACCTTGAGGGCCTCAGCCCTCAGGGCCACATCTTTGGGCCGCCGCACACTGCCTCCTCTCGGCGGTCCAAGGCGGGGCACTGGGGGGATAGGGCCCCGAGGACGAGAAGACTCAAACAATGGCGGCTCTACTTGATGCCCATGTCCTGTGATGAGGGCCCTGTCCCTCGGGGCCCCATCTTTGAACCGCTGGCCCCCTCCCCGCAGGCACCTGGCGACTCTGAGCCTCCTCGAGGCCAGGACCCCTCGGTCTCTCGTCCCCTTCTGACCAGCCTCGAGCTCATCCCTGCCGCACCCCTGCGATCAGCAAGCTGACGGCGATGACAGTCTCAGGGACTTGGGGATGAGGGATTGGTGGCCCCACTCGTTTTTCCGCCGTCTCCTGCTGCCCGTTGTGATTTTCCCCCCACTGCAGGCCTTGACGGTGGCATTCTCCGTTTTTGTTGGCGCCCGGTAGCGCCATAAGAGTGCGTTGTTTTTCCCGCCGGGTGCTGTCGAGCACACCTGGGGTTGAAGGCCCCTCGACCTATCACATGCATCATCGACCGTCGGGAGCTCGGTCATTGCTTGGTTGTTGTTTTCATTCCGTCGTCGTCTTTTTCGTCGTCGTCGTCGTCGGCCGCTGGCGCTCAGAAGCGCCTCATCGGGTCGGAGCCCTGGAGCGCGCATTTTCGTCTCTGCGACCACTGGCGAGCCCTACTCGACGTTGGGATATCGTACCCCCTGTCTGGCTGCAGGGATCCTTCGAATTATTTCGAGTCCACTGCGCTCACAGTAGCGCGGTAGCTTAGTCGCTTCACGATTGCGCCACAGAGCTTGTCATCATGCTGCTGTGTCCGCTCCCCGTCCTCTCCTACAGAATCTGGCTGGGGACGTGCCTTCAAAAAATGAGGGAACCCTCAAGATCGGCACAAAGACCCGCAGATGCCAACCAATCATAGAGATCGGGATGCGTTTCAGGCTGGAAACTTTCCCGCCCAAATGCTGGCGCTTCACCTTCCCGGGTCGCTCTAATGCCCCAGGGCCCCGAAGCTGGCCTCCAGACGGCCGGAAACAAACAAAAACGGAACACCAGCCGCCTCGGTGTCTCGCGCGGCGACAGGTGCCCGTTGGCCGTCCTCCTCCTCCTGGCTTTCTCCACCCTCCCGCCGGCCCCTGCCCCTCCCCCTGGCCCTGCGACCGGTCCTTCTCCTCCCGGGCGCTGCCGCTCCTCCTCCTCCTGGTTGCCCGCCCGTTCCCGTCATGCTGGTAGAAATACATGCGATGACCACGGGGGACCATCGTGAGGTCGCTGAAGGAAGGAACCACTCCACGAAAACAGCGTGGCCTCACGGAAGGTGGCGACTCTCGTCTGAACGCCACCGCAATCGACCTCTTGTTATCGGATTGCGTGCTGCGCAGCGACGGGTGTTAAGGGGAGATAGCCGACCTCAATGCAGGAGGAGTGTGGAAGTGACGGCACTCACCACAGCGGCGTTAAGGAGCGAGGTTGGTACAAGAGGTCTCTTTGGGGGTCAAGTGGCCGAAAGGCTATTAGCGTCCGCGCAGACCTACGATCAGAAACGAGTGACGCATTGCGGGAAGAGTGCGCTGAAACCACGTTTTGAACAGAAGTCCAAATCGAGACATACCAAACCAATGCTGAGCGCTCGCTGACTCAGCAAGGGCCACGCGGACGAGTCGCCGGCATGCTAGAAGGGGTCCTGAGAGAAGCGTATCCAACAAATGAACCTGTTCCCCCTCCTCCGCTCCTCCTCTTCTTTGGACGCCCGAAATGGGTACAGGCAAAATGGACACAATGCCCGACAACAAATGTTGTCCCAAACCAACAGCCGCCGCTGTTGGGCAGGCGGCCTTCTGATTCCAAAGGACACAGTCCGCGGCGACACCGACGGCGAATCCAGTTCAAAACGAACAGGGACTGCTCTTGGTCTTCGTACCCGTTCTTTCCGTAACCCACTTCGATCGTCTCGATCTTCCTCCTCGACAATAAAAAAAAAAAACACAGCCGGCGAAGTAGCCCCGTCGCCCCCTCCCGCCCGCAGCCCAGACCCCCGACGTCATGATTTTTTCATGACGCGACCCCCAGAGGTCCCGACCCATTCCCTGGGTCCGGCTCTTCATCCCGAGTCGTTTTTTGACGATCCCGAGGCCCGGCGAGGGCCCCCGGAGGCCGAAAATAGCAACAACAACAACAAAAAAACTCCCGTCGTATTTTTTTCATGACCCGAGGGGGTCTGGGAGTCTGGGAGGCCTGAATCCGCCGTTGCCGCCGTACTGGGGCATGTTCTTCTGGTCCGGGTGCCAGGGGGCGCCCACATAGTCGTAGCCGATGAACTTGTCCTTCGCAGCGCCGGCGGCAGCTCCTCGCCCTACAGTTAAGTCGGGCGTGTCCCCCTACAGGGGGATTTTCGACGAAAAATAAAAAACCCAAACAGATCCCAAAAAGGTAAAACAAAACACAAAAAATACTCCCCTGACTATTTTGGGATTATTGTTTTATTATGTTTGGAGTATTTTTTTATTTTTCGTCGAAAATCCCCCTGTAGGGGGACAGGCCCGACTTAACCCTACAGTGATCACGTCGAAGGGCAACCGTCCCTCGAGGCGGAGGCGGTTTAGCGCGCGCCTTCGTCCAGCCCTCCTCTTCCCCTCATGCGTAAGCTCCCCCTAACGAGGAACCATGCCCCCCACCGCCCCCCCCTCCTCCCCGCTCCCCTCGAGAGGGAACAACAAGCCTCGAGAGGGAACAAACAAAACCACCGAGGGGGACAACCAAAGCCTCGAGGCCCCCACCGCGTCTCCAAGATGCCCCCGAGAGGCATACCAAGAGAATCCGAGAGGCATGCAAGACGCCCCTACTCCACCAGAGCTCTCAAAGACGGCCCAGAGAGGCCCCCGAGGCAGCCCAAGAAGCTCCCGAGCAGCACGAAGAGTCCCCAGACTGGCCCCCGAAGAGGCCCCCGGAGGGGCCCCGAAGCGAGCCGCAGTGTACGCCACCGGTGCCAATTCCTGCTCGTCGTCGTCGTCGTCGTCGTCGTCGTCGTGGTCGTCGTGATCGTTGTCGTCGACGTCGTCGTCGTCGTCGTGAGCGTCGTCGTCGTCGTCGTCGTCCTCCTCCTCCTCCTCCATTGTTGCGAGGTGTGCGGGCTAGGCTCCCGAAGGGGGCCCCGCGGCGGCTCCCGCTCTGCAGGTGGGCTCCGTGCGGCGGGCCCCCCCCCCCCGGCGCGTGAGCCGGCGAGCGCCGGGCGGCGCTGGCCGTGTCGAGGGCGTTTCGGAGCCCTCTGAGGGTGGCCAAAAGACCGCATGCGGGCGTTGGCAGAACTGGGTTTAGCGAGACCTGGTTTGGTGATCTGCATCGGGGACGCCCCCCCCCCCCGTCCCACTCCACTGACCGGAAGTGCCGTCACCCGAAAAACATCAGCTACGGCAAACCTGGTTTAGTGATTCCAATTCATAGTTTGGGCTTCGGGAGCGCCGGGCGGCGCTGGCCGCGTTGAGGGCTTTTGTGGAGCTCTCTGAGGTGGCCAAAAGACCACCCACAGTCAACCCGCAGAGTAAGGATGCGCGATGAGGACGCAAGGCCCTTGGACGCCCATTTCGAAGCGTTTCGAGCGGGGGGCGGCCAACGAAAATGTCCAAGGATGGACCCGGGAATCAAGGATGCAAGGGTACCCTTGGGAGGGATGCCTTTCCTTACTCTGCGGGTCGACTGTATAGAGTAGCTGTGCACACTCGGGATATCGCTCGAATGAAGGCCAAAGTGCAACCGCAGCAGTTTCTGCTGCGCTCCTCTCCTCCTGCGATTCACTGCACATCCAAGGGGCCAGCAGGTTGGCTTCAAGGGGTGCCTCAAGACGACCCCAGATGGCCACAGGAAGGCGCACGACGGCCCAAGATGGCCCCGAGGCGACCCAAGAGGGCCTCAAGACGGCCCTAGAGTCCCACAAGACTGCCCCCAAGGGATCCAAGGAGACCGACCAGGGGGCCTCCAGGGACCAGATTCACTGAACAACCTTCTATGAACGATGAATAAAATTAGCAATCGAAGAATTACCCTGGCCAACCCATTCGGGTAAGGAACTGTTGGCCATGAGCGAGCCCGCACTGAGCTTCCGTGGAACGCTGGCAGCGGAATGGTCGCCGCACAGGAGCTGGCACGATTTTGACCACCTTACTGTCAAGATCCTTGGCAATGCGAAGCGCTCCAAAACGCCAGCCGGCACGCTACGAGCGAATTTCCCACTGCCCGCAACGTTGGTAATTTGACGCGCAGTTCTTGCGAGCGGGCACGCTTGGCGCGTGAGTGCTGGCAGCAACGCTGACAGCGCGAAGTGAAAGAGCTGGCACGTTCACCAAACTCACGGGAGGGGCACTCGAATGAGACGGGAAAAGCACGAGTCATGTAGTGAGTAGCCCGTGACAAAACGCCTGGTAAAAGGGAAAGCGCTCGCTCTGCAACTTGCGCTGGAAACGAGGCCGCACTTGCAACTTGCGCTGGAAATCTGCCGTCCTCACCCGCCCACAAGAGCAGGGCGGAGGAGGACGGCAGATAGGGGCCGAGCTGAAGCTCCACTGGCGAGGCTCCCTAGCGCGACCACCGGTTCGCCCAACCCCTCCCCCAGCCCTTCCCCCTCGCCTCCCCTCTCGCCTGTCGCCTCCCCCCTCCTTTCCCCTCCCATCGCCCCTCCCTCCCTCTCCCCTCACCTCCTTGCCCCTCCAATCCACCTCCCCCTCCCCTCGCCTCCCTCCCCCCCCCCCTCGCCTCCCTTCCCCTCGCCTCCCCCCCTTTGCCCTCCCATCCGCTTCCCTCTCCCCTCGCCTCCCCTTCCCTCCCCCCCTGCCGCCGAACTCGAGGCTCCTGAGATCACTCGGGACGGCCTGCGACCCCGAGCTCGGACCTCCCGGGACCCGTCGGGGGCTCCGGGGCCGACCAAGAGCACCCCTCGTCACAAAACAGGGCGAGCGATGCTCGATCATGAGAACACCAAGTTCGAGAACGGCACAGACCGCGGCGCGCGTTCGCGAGCGAGGGTTCGCTATGGCCAGTGGAGGCGCGATGCAGCCGTTGCCCTTGAGAACGATGCTGTCGTCGCCAAAGATGAGGACGTGCTCCATTTTCTCCTGAACCCATGCCCGAACACAGCTGTTCCTTCAACATGCTTAGCTGCAGCAGATCATTCGGGGGCAAGGCGGCAAGTGCAACGTACAGAAATGGATGTGCCACTTTCCCCACGATGATGATCTCGGACCGACGACACTGCAGGTGAACATTCGGTGCCGATCCACCGGCCTCGGCAGTGAGCACAGTGCGAGCAAGACAGCCGCCAATGAGGCCCAGACCGCCACACAAACCGACCTGCAACGGGCAACCTCGTGCAGAGAGCCGTGGCCTGGAAGAGAAGAAACCAATGAAGGGGCCCTGGGACACACAAATAAATGATACCGGAGAAAACCCAATCAGGACTATCGGGCTAGGGGGTTATAGGGCTATAGGGCTATTGGGCTATAGAGCTACAGGGCTATAGAGCTGTACGGCTATAGGGATATAGGGCTATTGGGCTATAGGGCTATAGGGCTATAAGGCTATAGGGTAACCCCGGGCACCCGGGCACCCCCAGGCACGCCCGAGCACCCGGGCACACGGACACCCCCGGGCACCCGGGCACCTGGGCGTGCGGCGAAAATCGGCGGCAAACCTAACCTAACCATATGAATCCGCTAGGACCCCTACAGAGGCAAGCTCTGCTTGGGGAATAAACACAAATGACAGGATGCCCCGTATTTTTCCCTATGTTTTTCGGGGCTTCTGTCTTCCCCCCCACCTCCCACATTTCCCCATATCTCCTGGGGGAATCGAAGATTTACTGTGTCTGTGTCTTTTTTTCCTCCTGCGAACCAGGAGCTATACCCGCGGCAGTGCTTGCCCGGGCGCGCCGTGCCGAGGAAAAAGGGATGCGTCGTAGCCCCAGCTGGGGAAGGACAGGGACCCAGACATGATGGCGTCGAAAAAAAATCAGGACGGGCGGTTTTTGGCTATTTTCAGCCCCTGCGGGCCCTCTCCTCCCTTCATGCTCCTGCTCGTTCCCCTCCACATCCTCGTCCTCGTCGTCGTCGTCGTCCTCCTCCTCATACTTGTCCTCTGGATACGCCTTCTCCTCCCCCTCCCCTCGGCAATCACCCAGACAAGTCCATGTCATAATTCAATACTTTCTCCTACCAGTCACCCCCCTCCTCCCCCTCCCGTTTCCCCCTCCACGTCCCATCCAACATGACTTCATCTTGTACCTCATCAACCCTCCTACTGAATCCTGGCTCCTAGCCGTCATCCTCCTCTCGGGTTTCTTCTAATCCTTCTCCCCCTCCTTGCTCGTCCCCATCTATCACAGGTTGGAGGTTGGAACATCATGGCGTTGGGACATCATACACGTCGGTCGGAAGAAGTAGGCAAAAACATGAAGTAGGAAGGCGGACACAGTGGATTGGGTCCAGGCCATCCCAGTGAACAACAAAACGCAGCAAAAGAATAGCGATTCTTGAAGTAGGAAGGCGCTTGAAGTAGATTGGGATCTGCGGATCCAAAGATGCATACTTTCAACGACCAGCGTGTAACGGTGGCTTGCCATCAGAGGGGGCCTGGGGGTCCGGGCCCCGAGCGGAGAGCGGGAGGCAAAGGGCCTCCCCTTAACCCCGAGGGACGGGCGCCAGCCCCCGCGGCGTCGCCGACGCCGGCAGGGGCTGGCGCCTGCGGCAGAGATGCCGACTGCGTGCTGCGACGCATTGGCTGCGGCGGCTTGCACTAAAGTTGTGGATGCCACGACAATGGACACTCTAACAGTCCGATCATGGAATTTACAATGTGTAAAAAATGTAAAATGTCTAAAACATGTTTGAAACATATTTCATAAATCTGGAAATTATTCGGCAACACGCATCCTCTACATAGATCGTCGTCCACAACGCTAAAGGGGGGAGATGAGCACGGAGGAGGCCTCTCGGGAGGATGCTGTCGCAAGCGGCAGGAGAGACCTCCTGCGAGACGCAGAGGCACCACTTGCATCGGAGCCCGGCGCTCCAGGAGGTGAAGGCCTACTGGCGGTCGGTGCGTAGCGGAAGCCTGTGGTCGAGCTGGAGCCCTCGCTCGGCTGGGCAGCGGGGAACGGGGGCTCCCTTGGGGGGGTCACTGGGGCGCCAATTGCCAGCGGGTCGCCTGCAAGTGTCGCAGTTGACATAGTGGTTGGGGCCGAAGCGCGAGTCCTGGGTCAGGTGCGAGGGCAGAGTAGTGCCCTGTTTCGCACGGTCCTCCGCCTTTGTGACGTCGACGAGGTAGTACTCGAAGGGGAGGGTGCTCCCGGGAAAGTGGTCGGGCAAAAGGGGGACTCGCAAAGGAGACAGGTTCGGCCGAGATCCACCCATCTGCGGGGGAGCGCTTTTCCTAAGTCATCTGGCCGACGACAGCCTGGTGAGCAGCCTAGCGAGCGCACTCATATCCAGAATCTTCCGCGTGCCGGACGGTCATGGCAGTGAGACAGCGGATGCAGCACCAGCGACCACTGCACTGTCCTGTCGACCACAGAATGGCACGGTTGGCTGCCAGAGAGTTGGCCATGGTGCGGTCCTCCCATCCATCAACCAGCGTGCCAGAGAGGGGCCCTTCGTTGCACTCGTCGCACTGGAAAAGGGGCTTGTGGATGGAGAAACGGGCGCCTCCTCCTCCTCCTCCTCCTCCTCCTCCTCCTCCCCTGCCTCCCTCCATCCCTGCCCCACCCCCTCAAACCAGCGGGGGGCCCCGTGCCAGATTTGGCAGGCAGTGCGGCCTGCCGCCGCCCCAACTCCTCGCACGCCCGCTCCGGTCCTCCTGACAACTCCTCGCCCCCCCCCCCCCACCCCCTCCAGGAGGCCGCCAGGTTCCCCGAGTCGCCAACGCTGGCAGCTCGAGCTCGGTCCAGGCATTGGGGGGAGCGCCCCTGTGCGAAAGGCGCGGAGGAAGCCTCAACCCTCAGCGGCAGTGCCTCAGACACGGAGGCAGGGGCGGGCCAGACATGCCCCGCCCCTGTCTTCCGGCCGCTGTCATGCCTACCTGTCGGGCGGGTGCACGTGGGGGGTGACGCAAATGGGGGGTGAAGAGAAAGGCCCTAAAAGGGGCTCTTTCGGGCCCCTATTGGGCACCTTCTGGGCCCCCAAAAAAGTTCCTCAAGAGCCCTAAAAGGCCCCTTTGGGGCCACTTTCTTCGCCCCGAATTTTGGGCCATCCCCCGTTAGCACCCGCCCGAGCCTGCCTGGCCCCTCCCCCCCTCCGGGATCATCTTCCAGAAGTCCATGCTCAGCAGGTAGTAGGAGAACTGGATGCGACCGAGCTCGGGGATCCTCGGTCGCCCCCCGCGAGCGCGCGGACCGCTGCGACCAGCAGGGCGTGGCATTCCGACCGTGGACCTCTGAGGGCAGCGGAGCTGTGCTGTTGCGGGCAGCAGGAAGGGGACCCCCTTGTGAGCCCTGGGAGTCGGCCTGACAGGGGGAGGGAGCAGGGAGCAGAGGAGGGAGGGGATGGAATGCGGGGGGGGGGTGGGCTTGGTGGAAGAGGGAATGATAAATGAGGACGAGAACGGCTTTTAAGGGAGAAGGATGGAGTGTACGAGGCAGAAAAGGAGGAACATACACATGAAGAGATGGAGAACGATCGAGAGAGAGAGAGAGCGTGTGTGAGAGAGAGGGGGGGAGAGAGAGAGAGAGAGGGAGACACATAGAGAGAGGGAGAGAGAGAGAGAGAACAACATGAAGATAAGGTAATCGAGATACGCATAGCTAGCAATACGTCGAGAGTGATGCGTCTACACATGCATATATAAATACACACACATACATACATACATACATACATACATGCATGCATGCATGCATGCATGCATGCATGCATGCATGCATGCATACATACGCATACACGATTACACGCAAATGCACATACACACATACATACATACACATACATTCATGCATGCACACATGCATGCATTCATACATTCATCGATGCAAACTACCTAAACACATACACATATACACACATACATACATACATGCATACATCCATACACACACATACATACCTCATCACACATACACACATACCTACATCCCTACATACATACATACACATACATACATACATACATGCGCACGCGCATACCCACATCCATACAACAGACATACATGCATGACTGCATGCGAACACACGTACACACAATCATACATACATACATGCAGGCATACGAACAAACATACATACATAGATACATACATGCATACACACATACCTACCTACCTACCTACCTACCTACCTACCTACCGACCTACATACCTACATGCATACATACATACATACATCCATACACACACATACATACATACATACATACATACATACATACATACATACATATATACATACATACATACATACATACATACATACGCAGTCAGACACATTCATACATACATACCTACATACAAATGAATACACATACCTACATGCATACATACATACACGCACACGAACACACATACACACAGACATACACACCCATGTACCTACCTGTCTACCTAACAAAATACATATACGCATACACATATACACGCACATACATACATACATACACATATATAGTAAGTGTGTATATATATACCTACCTACCTGCCTACCTACTTACCTACCTACCCATCTGCCTACCTACCTACCTGCCTACATGCATACATGCGTAATTATAGATACACATGCAGACGCACAGACACACATAGCGTACGGATAGAGGGATATGTAAGTAAAGGAACAATGCTGCTACGTATATGGTTAGTCCCTCCCAAATCGTGCTTGCAGCACTAGGGCTTCTCACTTCGGTTAACCATCTCGGGACCCTCGCCGCAGAATTGCAGCCGTGCCGCCCGTCGCCGCCCATCGCCGTCGCCGCCCGTCGCCGCCATCCCCGCCCGTCGCCGCCCGTGCCGCCAGTCGCCGTCGCCGCATCGCATACATTGCACCGCATGTATTGCATCCCATAGGTTGCATCGCATACATTGCAACACATATATTCCGCCGCATAGACTGCATTACATAGGCTGCATCATCGCATATATTGCACCACGTAGATTGAACCGCATACATTGCACTGCGTAGGTTGCATCGCATACATTGCACCACGTAGATTGCACTTGCGCCGCATATATTGCATTACACCGGTTGCATCGCATACATTGCACCAGGTAGATCGCCTTGCGCCGCACATATTGCAAGAACCTACTTTTCGTCGCCCACGCTATCATGTATGTACCTATCTGTACACGTATATATGTGTGCATGTGCATAGAGAGAAAGGGAGATAATAAAGAGAAAGAGAGCGAGAGAGCGAGAGGGAGAGAGGGCGATAGATTTGCATACCCTTCGTCTCCAATCAATGTTTGCACTAAAGGGTCCTTACCTCTCTTCTAATGAACTGGCCCCGAATGTCGCTCTGGCGGTTCCGTGCTCGCAGTCGCCGCCCCGTCGCCGCGTCGTCGTCGCCCGTCGTCTGGGCCTTGGTGCCGGTCTGGCAGCTCTGTGCTCGCAGTCGCCGCCCCGTCGCCGCCCGTCGTCTGGGCCTGGGTGACGGTCTGGCGGCCCCGTGCTCGCAGTCGCCGCCCCGCCGCCTCGTCGCGGCCCGTCGGCTGGGCCTGGGTGCCGGTCTGGCGGCTCCATGCTCGCCGTCGCCGCCCTGTCGTCGTCGTCGTCGCCGCCCCGTCGTCGCCGCCTCGCATAGATTCCCGTGTCTGAACAACAGGAATTGGGATCGAACACCCCCCGGTGTGAACAGGTCCTTTTTTTTCCCGTATTGTGTTTCGCATTTGATTCTGCACACTCGTCCATCCGAAATAAAAATCCGTACCGTCCAAAGCAGTCCGATTATCGACCCCCCATCCTCCTCCTTCTCAAATAATAGAATGCGCGCGCACTCGTTTATCCAGAATTATTAGCTTTCAAGCCCTTGCCAAACACAGGGTCCAAGAGCACACGCGCGCGTCGTCGAGCGCGCATGCCAGATTCCTTTACAAACCTCAGGCTCAAGATGGGTTTCAAAATCAGATGTCCCGAACGCATTTGCACGAGCCTGACGACGGATCCAACCATATGCAGTTGTGGGGACCGTCGTTGTAAGCGCCCCATTCGCTGGAGCTCCCTATAAGGCCACGAAACGTGCGAGGGGTATGCCGAAAGGAGCGCGGTGGGCGCATGCGTGCGTTAGCGCCTGGGCCTTCGGTGGCGCTCCCTATGGGGCCACGACACGTGTGAGGGAGTTTCCAAACAAATACGGCGGGCGCATGCGAGCTCTGGCGTCTGGGCCTTCGGTTGAGCTCCGTATGAGGCCACGAAGCGTGCGATTGGTGTGCCAACATGGGTGCGGTGGTCGCATGCGAGCGCCTTGTATGGGACCACGAAACCTGTGAGAGGTGTGCCCAAATGGGCGCGGTGGGCGCATGCGAGCGCTGGCATTTGGGCCTTCAGTGGAGTTCCCTATGGGGCCACGAAGCTGGGGAGGGTGTGGTGCCGCGAAACGTGTGATGGGTGTTCCGACATGAGTGTGGGTGACGCATGCGGGCGGTGGTACTGGGGCCTTCGGTGGAGCTCCCTATGGGGCCGCGAAACGTGTGATGGGTGTTCCGAAATGAGTGTGGGTGACGCATGCGGGCGGTGGTACTGTGGCCTTCGGTGGAGCTCCCTATGGGGCTACGAAACGTGTGAGGGGTGTGCCAAAATGGGTGTGAGTGGCGCATGCGGGTGGTGGAGAGGGGGGGCGAGGAGGAGTGAGTAACGCGGGGCGCTGCCTCTTAAAACGAGGACCCAACACCACAGGATGGTTGGGAAAAAGGGGAGAGTCGGACAAAAAGGGGTAGAGAAACAGAGGCAACGAGATAACTAGAGAAAAAACGTTGACACACATCCGTGCTCGTGTTGACACTGATTACTGTTGCTTGCTCGCGTGCCACTCCAGAATACAGCAAGCCCTTGATACCCGACCCTCTTCGTCTGGGTAAACCACGACGGGGTGGGGACAGGCGGGTCGGGCGGGCGGACCCTATTGGGCTGGTCGGGTGGGTGGGCCCTAATGGGCGGGTCGGGCGGGTGGGACTGTTAAGGCATGCGGGTCTTGCGGGCGAACCCTACCTGGCGGGTGGGGCGGGCGGACACTCAAACGGACGGGGGGGCTTCCAAGCGAGCGGGCGGGCAGGCTCCACTGGGCGGGTAGGGAGGGCGGATCCTAACGGGCGGGTCGCGCAGACGGAGACAGACGGGCGAGAACCGCCAGTCTGGGCCAGCCCAGCGTGATATTAAACCAGTAATCCTTAACATACTGTGAGGAAGTCTCGGGCGAGAGCGTCAGTCCGAAGTAAATTCGTGAGATCCTGCGTGGGAAGAGCGAGCCCAGAATAGTTTGTGAGCAGGTCCCGGGCGGGAGCCGTTGCTGTTGTAGCCAGGGGCCCCTGGAGAGCAGTTTGGCGCCCAGGGCCGTCCCAGACAACGGACATGGTGCGAGCATCGAGGGTGACACTCCCAGACGTCCGCTGGTCTGATTGTCCCAGGCAACGGACAAGGCGCGAGCATCGAGGGTGACACTCCCGGACGTCCGCCGGTCTGATTTGTTCAATGCGCGGCCGTAGAAGTCCCTACCCCTTCCCCATGGGTGGTTTGATCATCCCCGATCCGCTTGTGATATTCCCTGGGAACGTAACGGGACCCAGACGCCGAAATCGAGGAAGAACTCCAGGCCTGAAAAAATCGGATCGTCGGGGATCTGGGAGGTGGAGGAGGAGGAGGAGGAGGAGGAGGAGGAAGAGGAGGAGGAGGAGGAGGGGGAGGGAGGAGGAGGAGGAGGAGGAGGAGGGAGGAGGAGGAGGAGGAGGAGGAGGAGGAGGAGGAAGAAGAAGAGGAGGGAGGGGATGCTGGCTGGCGGGGAGGGGATCGACTGCCGTGATTCTTCGGGAGTCCTGGTGGCAGCGGCGCCTGGCGGTCCAGCCCCCCTGCGGCCGACACGTCCTCCGCTTGGCTCAGGGTGTCGACCCCTCCCCCCCCCCCTCCCCCCTCCCTCCTCCTCCCCCTCCCCTCCTCCTCCTCCTCCTCCTCCTCCTCCTCCTCCTCCTCCTCCTCCTCCTCCAGCCTTGATGACCGCAGCTTCCACGCCCGCCCGTCGCAGCTGCCACCGCGCGTCTGGGTGGCCACACGGGAATCCCACCCCCCACGATCCTGAGGAGGGCGGGGGTTCCCTCCGCTCGGACCTCCCGAACGACATGCAGCCCCAGTCCCCTCAGAACTCGTGGGAGGTGGGGGATCGGGCTCACGTGTGGCCGCCGCGCGTCGTCCAGCGGCGGCATGCCTGACGGGCGGCCCTCGGAGGCGGGGGCGACTCAGGCCCAAGCCGCTGGGCGGCGCAGGCCCGAGACGCCTCCCAAGGAGACTCCACGAGGCGCGCAAGAGGCATCCTGTCCCCAGCCAAGGCGCGGCGGCGGGATGGGCCGGCCACTACGGTCCGCCGCCCCCTGTGGATTCATCGCAAGGGTACCTGGCGTGCTGGACGATTTCGGTTCTGGTTTTGGTTCTTGTCCAAAAGAACTCCCCCTGGGGCTTCGGCCCGTCCCGTCGGGGTCCCAGGAAGGATCTCAAAACGCATCCGTCGATGCCTTTGTTGTCCCAAGTTGGCTCAAGATGGCCTCCAAGACGGCCAAGATGGCCCTCAAGCTCGCCCAAGATGGTCCAAGACGGCCTCCCAGACGGCCCAAGAGGGTCCCAGAACATCGTTGATTTTCCTTAGGGTTTTGAAGAATTTTGACATTTGCTTCTTCTCGGCATTCCGACGGCTCACGACGGCCCACGAGGCCTCAAGATCGCCCCAAGATCGTCCACGAGGCCTCCCCCCATGAGGGCCAAAAAGGCCCCCAAGACGGCCCCAAGAGGGCCCCAAGACGGGCCAAGAAGCCTCCGAGACGCCCAAGATGGCCTCTAAGACGGCCCCGAAGCGCCCCAAGAGGGCCCCACGTCGGTCCCGAGAGGCCCCCAAGACGGCTCACTACGGCGTCAGACGTGCCAGGAGCCCACCAAGATGGCCGAAGTTGGATCGAAGCTGGCCCAAGACGGCCCAAGAGGCCTCCAAGAGGGCCTCCAGGAAGGCCAGACAAGGCCAAACATACTTAGTTTCCCTAGGTTTTTGAGGGGCTTTGACATTTGCTTCTTTTCGGCCTTCCGACGGCCCGAGACGGTCCAAGAGTCCCAAAAGATCGCCCAAAGATCGCCCAAGAGGCATCCAAGCTAGTCCCAGAACGGCCCAAGAGGCCCCCAAGACGGCCCCAAGAGGCCCCCAAGACGGCTCAGGAGGCCTTTAAGACGCCCAAGATGGCCTCCCAGACTGCCCTGGAGCATTCCAACAAGGCCCCAAGTCGGCCCAGAGAAACTCCCCAAACGGCTTCCGACGGCGTCAGACGGGCCAGGAGCCCACCAAGACGGCCGAAGATGGCCTTAAGATGGCCCAAGACGGCCCAAGAGGCCTCCAAGGGGGCCCCCAGGCAGGTCCGAAAAGGCCCAAGTCATTGATTTCCCATGAGTTTTTGAAGGATTGTGGCATTTGCTTTTTGTTCGGCCTTCCGACGGCCCGAGACGGCCCGTGCCCCCAAAGATCGCCCAAGACGGCTCCAAGAGGTCCCCAGGACGGCCCAAGAGGCCTCCAAAACGCTCAAGGTGGCCTCCAAGACGGCCCAAGAGCCCTCCAAGACGTCCTCCAAGAAGGCCCGAAAGGGTCAAAATGGCCTCCAGACGGCCAAGATGAACTTCAAGATGCCCACGTGTTCCCCGAAGGCTTTCCAAACCGATTCGGGGAGGAACACATGGTCCGATAGCTTGGCAGGTCTGGCCTCAACGTTCGGCCCCATAAGCGCTTCCAAAAAGGCAGGGGGCGGCGGTGATTCGCCGTATGCGTCTTCGATCAAGATTTGTCGTTTGTGGGGAAGCCACCGAACCGATACTGCTACTCCCTGGACCTTTCCCAGGGAGCGCTCTGGATTCGATTCCAACGGTGGTGACGAGGGCCCCCCAAAAAGTCCAAAAAACGAAAGCGAGGCGAGCGTAGCGGTAGTGGTACCTCTTCTTCCTCTGAGGGATGGGCCGGAGGCCCTTGCGGTCAACATGTGTTGCTTAGCGTGTCGCGGCGCCCCCCCCCCTCGGCGGCTGTGCGTTCCGCGGGGGCCGTCCTCTCTGGTTCGGCGGTGTCCGAGCGGCGGAGGTAGATCGGGGCCCACACCACGTTCTCGGGCCTCCCCCCGGGAGGGGTGCCAGACGGAGGGAGGAGGAAATGCAAGCCCAGACAGGGTGGGGGAGGAGGGGGGAAGAGGAGGAGGACGAGAGAATGAAAAGAGGAAGAGGAGTAGAAGGAAGAGGAGGAGGAGGAGGAGGAAGAAGAGGAGTAGGAGGAGGATGAGGAGGAGGATAACACAGTAGGATGCCGTATGATGAAGCAGGGGGGGAGGGGGAGGAGGAGGAGAAGGAGGAGGAAGAGGAAAAAGGGGCTGGGAACTGGGCTATCCGACGTGCAGTCAGACACCTGCCAGAAGGAACGCTAGATAAGGAACGAAGGCTTTTTCTCGCACTAAACAAACAAATATGTAAGGAACGGCCGAGCTCCTTTTTGGAAGCGTTCCCTCATCGTTGCCTCTCGTTTTGACAGAGACCCCCCCTCTGCCGAGACCGAAGGAACGGGTGCCCGCGGCACGCGGACCCAAGGAACCACCGAGCCCCTTATCTCAGGAGCCTCGTTGTAATCTGAAACTGTTCCGCCTTGTAAGGCAACTTGGGCCACTTCGCCATTCGATGGCGACCAAAGAATGTTCGCCGATGGGGGGGGACATGCGATTTGCGCGTGAGTTCGGTAGCTCACGCATGGAGCGTAGAAACCACGACACCCAACTAACCAAGCACGATGCTCACGCTGCAACCTCATCTTGTGACTTTCGTGCACCCAGCCACCCGCGAGGCGATGCCGCCCCCCCCAGGGGAAGGGCGGATCCAGCGCAGGGGATAGAAGCAAAGGGAGAAAAACTACGCATTCACGGCAGCAGTCCCATATCACCTCTGGCACGTTTCCCACGAGTGTCGAACCGACGCGACGAGTTGGAAATAACAATGGCGGACTGGGAGGGCGGTTTCTGACTGATCCTACCAGCTTTCCTCCTCCCGGCGCATTCCGCGGCCTGCATCGAGCCCAAGCTTGACTGGGGCAGCTGATGACGTGTTCGCCATGCTCGAAGTTCTGCATGCTGCACCTGGTGGAGGCTGGCTCCACTGACCTGGGCCCTGCGCGCCCTCCTGCGCGAGCTCATCGGCCGCGAAACTCCCACGCACCAGCAAACTCGGGACCCCCCTGAGAAACAACGTGTTGAGCAATTCCATGGGAACTAGCGAACAACATGCAAACATGGGCTTTCCGATCCTGGATCAAGGTACGACAGCGCAGCCACCAATCACCGCCGGGTCCAGTCAGTTTCGTGACGACCAAGAATAGAAACCATATGCAACCGCGAGATTATCCATGATATAACATACAAGACCCCGGGTGGCTCGGAACGCAGGTTCAAACGCACGCAATTCGCCGCGCGCAACTGTCTGCCCCGTGCCAGGCAGCGCTCCAGTCCAAGAGGCATTTACTTCTGAATGGTTCGAACGAAGTTAAAGAAACAACTGCCAGTCCAAATCTGCGGAGTCTCGGATCACTGGAGCGCTTGCCCCCACTGCTACTCCCCAAGCGCAACGATGGGCTGGTCATCCGCCTCTTCCCCCCGGCAGCCTGCCAAAAGAAGTTATTGCATCCGCCGCGCCGCCAGCTCCCGCCCGAATCATGGAGAACCTTCCTTCTGGCTAAGGAAGTAAACACCTTAGCCAGAAGGAAGGTTCCACCTCGCGCTGGGCAAGCGCGTCAGGAATGAGCACGCCCGTCCCCCTGATTCTCGTCGCGTCCCCAACGTCGATGGAAAGCCGTTCCATGGGCAGGGCCACGTCGCGGGCGCGCGTCGTCTGTGCTAGAGCCAGTGCCTTCCTTGATTCTGGCTCGTGGCGAGTAACCCCCCACTTCAATGGTGCGCATCAGCATGGACAGTCTCTCGCCATGATGGACCTGTCGGGGCTGGCCCAGGAGATAGCGCTATGAAAGAACACCAAATCCACCTTCCATCCCAACTCCACGCCGCCGCAGCGATGCATGCTGCCACGCATTAGAACGGATCGGCGCTGCTGGATGCCCCCAAAGCGGAGCAGGTAAATTCTGAGCAAGGCACCCGGAACAACCTAAAGCAACCTCCAAGCAGCGGGGCCCCCGGGGCAGTCCATGGGGGCCGCCCAGAAATCAGAGGCCTCCGGGTCCCAGCCTGCATCCTGCAAGCACAGAACAACAGCTCCAGATGGTCCTCGAACGCGCCTCGAGCTTTGCCCAGGAGCCGCCGCGCGAAATCAACCCAACAAAACTAGCCATAACCGGCAAAAGCCTGGCCTAGTAAATGGGGCGGTAATCCACTGTCGCAGCCGAAGGCTCACGCATGCCACGGGGCGCGCAGATGCTGGATCCCCGCCTGGCGCACGAAGATCCAACGGGGGATAGCCCCGCGCACTGCGCCCGTTTGCCTGCGACGACGATCCATGGCCGCCCAATGAAATCCGCGTATCTCGCGCGCGCGACACTGCGCGGACAGCGCGCCCGCTCCCAGCCGCTTCGCAGTCGTGCGATACTTACGAGCAACTCGCGCAAATCTCAATTCCTCACCGTGCGGAATTGCCGCTTCAGTTACCTGCTTGACTCTGTTCGCTCGTGCGCGTCGCCTCCGCCCACCCGGGGCCCGCCCCCAGATATCCAGCCAGCAGAGCAGCTGACGCTGAAAAACCTGCTCGGGTATATTGCCGCGCGACATATTTGGCGACGGCAGCCGTTGAACAAATCATGGAACTCTCGGGCGATCGACACTCGGAGCCCCTGTGCCACGATGCCCCGACGAGCGCCCAAAAGCCTTCGGCGCGTTTCCTCCGATCCTGGGCCCTGGGCCCAAGAGCCCGCTGAGATCGGCCAGCATTCCAGATCCTGGATCCTCGGCCCCAGTGCACCTTGGTAGTGGCATGTGAAATGAAGCGCGCCGTGCAACGAGCAAATCTGGCACTCCCCCATAACCCCTGGATTACTGACGACACGGGCAGAATACATCAGCAGAAGATGCGCCGCGCCCCAGAGTCCTGGGACCCAATCGCGGAGACAGTCTCGAAAGAAAAACGGCAGGTGGGAAGAGAGCCCAGGCGCAGCGCGCTTCAGGCCAACGTCGCCCACTCGATTGGGCAATGACATTGCCCGTCGTCCGACGACCCTCTGCCAATCCATATGCTGGGCGCCCGCAGCCTTCTCTTCCGCCACGCGTCAAAAACGCCCGGGCCGGGGGCGGCCGCGCCCCGCGTGGGCTCTGCCTCCAAACCCCACCGCTGGAACAGGGGCCCCCCGGAGATCGACCGAGCCCACGAGAGCGAGGGCCGAAGTCAGCTCGCGCGGCCCCCCGTGGATTGATTGTTCGGGCAGAGATCCTCCAGGTGCTGCCCGAATTCGCGCCGGCCACGCCGGCGCCCCCTCGGCCGCGGAGGAGATGTTGCCGATGTCAGCCAAGGCAACGCAAGGTCGTCTTGTCTAGCGGCCAAAGGACACGCACCCAGAAAATATCTCCGCTGGTGGGAGCGGGCTCAAAGGCTCAAGTTCAGCAGCTGCTTGAATCGCTGCGGCTGCATCTAGAATCTTACGACCCCAGGGCAGTTTGAATGGAACCGATCCGTGGTCAACGACGTCCCGAGGGCGACGCGGGCGCGCCCCCCCTTGGGCATTCTCATCTGGGGCAGCAGGGCCCCAGCGCAACTCCTGCCATGCAGACAAGGGCGGCCATGAAAAAGCATGCGCGATCGTAATCGGGAGCTCCCCACAAGAGATTCCGACGCACTGGCCTAGGCTGCTCCTGTTGGAATATACCGCTGCCGCGTCTGAGATGATGAAATGCCCCCCAGTGCGGTGTGTGTTCTTGCCCTCCATGATTCCACAATGTCAGGCAGTGGTTCCGTCCGACCTTAGCTGGGAACGCGCGCCTCCGCAACTTGAAAATCGCGCCCGCGGGCGCGGGGGGGGGCGAGGCAGACGCGTCGACGTCGTCGTGGCCGCGTGTCGCCGCCACCGCCGCCGCGGCCAACGAAGCGCGAAAGGGCTCAAGCAGGGCTCGCAAAGCACGACTCGAGCAAGAGGGCAAGGGGGGGGTGGGGCGAAGCCCGCATCAGACCTATCTGCGACCAGCGCCGCCGCGTCAGCGATGGAATGCGACGGGAATCATTGGAAGCCCTTCCGCGAGCCGAGGGGGGGGGGCGGCGTGAAAGCCCCGCTCCGGGCGAGTTGCGCGCGCGGCGCGGAGCAGGCGATGCGCGGCCGCCCAGCGACGCCCCTTCCGAGACCGAAGCCGCGGCCAGGGATATCGCGTCGCGGCAAATCAAATCGCGCATCCACGATGGCGCCCGATTCGTCCTTCGACATGCCTACCTCAGGGCCTGGGCGACCACTCTCCGAGGGGGGATCGAGCCCGGTCGCCTCGGAAGCCCCGGCGGAAACTCTCGCGGCGCCGGCGCCGGACCCCCGCCCCCCCCAACAAAAAAAAACATAAGCATTGTGGAAATGCGCCTCCGCGGCCCGCGGACCCCCTACCCCTGCTGGCGCTTGAGAAAAAGCATCGATCCTGGCGTCGGCAACGCGCGCTTGGCCCGCCATCGCGCGCGGCCGCTCTCCGCGCCCCCGCGCGGCCGAGACAGCACGATCGGGGAACTCCGGTCGCTCGGCCGCAAAATCTGCCCCGCGCTGCGAGCGCTCGGCCGTCGACGCGCGAGGGCTGCGGCGAGGGCCCCTGGGCCTTGGAGGGCTCGGCAGGAAGAGCGAGGCTGCGCTGGATAAGCAGTCCCACTGGGGACGCATCTGGCTTTATAAGCCACCCGGTGCCCCCCAAGTGACCTGAAAAAAAAGAGCGACTCCGAATGGCGCAATCCATCGTTGACCCTGACTTACCTGCCGATCAAGTACACTTGGCGGCGGGCTTCACTACTTGCCCGCCAACTCTACCCAGAAAATCATAAAAATTTATAAAACGCGCGGCGCCGGCATGAGTCCCCGGGGAACCCCCGGGGAGTTGAAGGGCGAGGGGGAAGGAGCCAAGTCCACTATAACGCTGCAGCCCTGCAGCTGACCTTCCAACCGAGGAATGATCACGCAAAGAAGCGAGCGCGCGCGAGTAGCCTTGCTCGTGTATTAGGGCAGCCGAAAACCCGTGGATACACGTCTGACCATCACTCTGAACCGGCGCGAGCCTGACAACGGCACCGCTGTAGAGAATGAGCCTGAGCGCGTCCTGGAATCAGCATCCAGCGCTCAATGCCTGAAAGTGTGGTGCCTTTGTCTGTCGAACAAGCTGGATTCGAAATCATCCTGAGCGTGGCCTTGCGCGCATTCTCTGGCACGATAATCAGGAACTTATAGATGCATGAGCTTCCACGGAGCAAAAACATTGAAGTCGACTAGCATGATGCTGCGCCGAAAACGATGGCATTGCCGAATAAGATTGACTGGTTCTCCTGCTGAACTGATTCGGGCGCAAAAAGAGCAACTGTACTCTGAGACTGGTGGCCATCTCTAGATCGTCACAGGTCGCCGTTCTAGCTAAAAACCTGGCCTCAGAAAGTCGCGCCGCCTCTGCTGCCACCTGCTTCGCGAGGTCTGACTGGCCGCCCGCACGTTGGCCACCCCCGCCGTTGGCGGGAGGAGCGGGTGCTGGCGTCGCTGCCGCGCCGCTCGCCGCTGCGCCGCTGCCGCCTGCTGGCGGAGCTGGCTGCTGCGATGGCGCGGTGTCCTGCTCAACGTCGAGCTCCTCTTTTTGTTCTGTAGCTCCGTGCGCGGCTGCGTTTTGTTCTCGATCAGAGACGACACCTCCGAAACATTCGGATCCAAGTTGGCTGCGTCTTTTCGAGGTCGAGGTGAATGTCCTTCAACTGGGCACGACGAGCTGGGCTGCAACCCAGGCCATCAACATGTTCGAATAACTGTGTGCCAGACACTTCAGAACAAAAAGGGCTGTGTCTACATAAAATCCATATTGCGCGCGAGCCCCTCCTTACCTTACCCGCTAGGACTTCAGCTGCCTTCTTACGCAGAATCTCCGCCAGGGCTACATCACGAGCGAGACGAGCCTCCTTGTCATCTGCCGCTGCCCGAATCTTTTCCAACCGTCAAACTGTGTGGACTGTCTGTGCGTGACCGTTGTTATCCACGCCATGACCCGTTTGCCTGCTTCAAGTTGATCTTGATATCTTCTTTTGGTGGAGGGTGTAGATCTGCCACAGCCAAAGACTTCTTCTGCAACGAAAGAACATCGGGATTCCAATTCTTGCTGCTCGAACTGGGTGATGGCTTGGCCTCTCCAGACGCGGATGGCCCAGGAAATCTCTACATCGCGGTACAAGTACAACAAGCTTCAATGTACGTCCGCACATTCCGCACTTGTACCCTACTTGCCCACGGCCTTTGCACGTAGACCATGGGCGGCTGGATATGCAAACTCCTCGGCCTTGGCCAACGCACGCACACACACACACACACACACACACACACACACACACACACACACACACACACACACACACACACACACTGCGAGAGAGAGTGGGCGAAACTCTGCGCGGCTATTGTTGCCCCTCAAGCGCCACGGGGAGGCACTTGAGTTCAAATGGCTACGGAGGAGAAGTAGGAAAGAGAAGGAGGAGGAGGCGGAGGAGGACGAGGAGGAGGATGACGGAGAAAGAGGCTGAAGGAGGGGCAACACTACATTTCAAAGAGTTTCCGGATGTCTTCGGTACGTCTCATGGGTGCAAGGTTGCTAGGGAACATGGGGCGAAGAGCACGGAAGAAAGAGCATGGAGGAAAAGGGGGAATAAGAGTCGACGTCGCTACCGAAGCAATTCGATTACGCTGCACTCGACTACGCGCACCTCGCAAGAAGTTAGAACAATGCTCCGTCAATTGGCATAGGTTGCTAGTGCAGGATAGGGAGGTTGAGGAGCACGGCTTCGGATGGGAACGACAAGAAGGCGAAGTGGATTGGAAACATCAGACGACGGAGTATCAAAGAAACTGGCACGATTAGATTCGGCATAGCTCACCATCTTCCCTGTTGACCGCAGCGAGCGGCCAGAAGGAGGAGGAAAGAGGAAGGTTGTAGTACCACGTGGGACATACCCTAGAGCAGGAACATACCGCAGACGGATCGAACCTTGCTCCGACCTTGTACTGCGCCGACCGCAACGGTCGCGTTGCCTATAGACGCATGCGCCCTCAATGTGCCTACATACGTAACGACACCCAATGTGCCTATAGACGCTTGTGGCTAGAAAGTGAGAGCTCTATTTGGCACAGGCCCGAGATATATGTCTTGCAGAAGCGGGTGGGCTTTGCCCTTTCAGAGGAGGGAGCCAAGCAGGGATGAGGGGTGGAGGAACGCAACGTCACGACGACGCAAAAGGCCATCCGAGTGAACGTGAGCCGATCAAAAATGGCTCATCGGCCCTGTCCCCTCCGCCGCTCGGGTCCACACCTTCAGGGGCCACTCCAGCGCGGGCGGCCGGGGCGGCGTGGGGAGCCGAGCTGGACGAGGAGTGAGGGGGGGGAGGAATTGTTGGGAACGGGCCTCAAGCCAGGGTGGCCCGGACTCAAACAAAATCTGACACGTCCGAATCCGACTCCTCCCCCAGGAGGCCGAACGACGAGTCAGCGCCTCCCCTCGAGCCCTAACCCAGGGAAGGCCAGAAGGAGGGAGGAGGGGCCCGTTGGGAGGCGGGGGGAGGAAGGGCAGGAGGCTCACTACCCGCAGAAGGGCGGCCCGAGGGGAGGGAGGGAGATGAAGGGTAGGGTGGCCCTTTGTTCGACGGGAGCTTCTCAAGGGAGCGCAAGAGGAGTGAGGGGGAGGAGGAGCGAGGAGCGAGGCCGCAGGAACGAGGGAAGGAGGGGGGAGGGGGACGGAGGAGAAGGAGGGGGGAGGAGGGGCGGGGAAGGAGGAGGGAGGGGAGGAGAGGAAGGGAGGGAGAGCAGAAGAAAGGCGGAGGAGGAGGGCGGAGGAGGAGGAGGAAGAGGAAGACCCTGAGCGCCTGCTCAGGAATTGTAAGTGGCCGGCGGATACGAAGGCCTCCTCCTCTTGTTCCACTTCCTGCTCCTTCCGCTCGATATCCTCGGGGATCTTCTGACCCGGACCAATCCAGACCTGGGTCAGTCGGGACTTCCAGGATCCGGCGCCATCCTGCAGAACCTGCACCCGAGCCCGGGACAGTGCAGCCCTGGATCTGCGGTATCCTGCAGGACCCGGTGCTCTGACTGACCCCCTTTGCATTGACCTCCGTCTCTTGAGCCCCGATATCCTCTTTGTCTGGTCTGCGACGACACTGACGACGACGACCCACACGACGACGACAACGCCCCCAACAACGACGGCGACGACAACCCAAACGGCGACGACCACCTCCACTACTACGACGATGATCCCCACGACGGCGAAGACGGTGGCAGCGGCGGCGGCCGTGGCGTCGACGACGAGCACGGCTGTACACGCGCGCGTGCGCCGGAGTCCAGCGGCCTGCCCAGCGCTTCGCTCAAGGCCTCCTTCTCCTCCTCCTCCGCGGAGGGCGCGAGGTATCCACAACCGGTCGTCAGACACACATCGTCCGCGTCGTCTACGTCGCCATCGTCAAAGTGCGTCGCTCTGCGTCGTCGCTGGTCGTATTCGCACGAATCTTCGAGTGTTCTCTGACGTTCCTGGAAAATCCGAGCGTCACGGCGAGCATGACTGCGGCCGTCTTATTGCGGCTTGGTCCTCTGAAGGGCCGCCGTAGGACAGTGCGGGAGGGAACAAAGACGCAGCACAAGACTCGCCACAGAAATGTCTTGCGTTTCGGCCCGAGCGCTAAACATGCAATAATCAGAAAGAGAGAGCGAGAGAGAGAGTGGTCCGAGCGGTCTCGCACTGTCACTGGGTGTGTGGTTGAAGTGGGGACCCGCCGTGAGGATTCGTCTTGTTGCCGCTTGGGTGTCTTCGCCGTCGCCCGCGAGCCACCCGCGACCAGCCGCCCGCGACCCGCCCACATTGCTTTGACGACAAGTTGGCGCCTACGACAGGCTCGTTGTGTAATGAATCCGCTGGATCTTCGGCGTGTGTGAGACGCTTTTTCGTTTGAGTCGTAGCCGTCGCCGTCGCCGTCGCCGTCGCCGTCGCAGTCGCCGCCGTCGTCGTCGTCGTCGTCGTCGTCGTCGTCGTCGTCGTTGTCGTCGTCGTCGCGTCGTCGCCAGTCCCCCACAGGGAAATTGAGAAACAAGGACAAGGAACATCCTCCCCCCAAGGTCCTAATAGGAGGGGAAGGGGACGGGGGTGACCGGGGGTGGTCCCGGGCCAGAATACCGCCCACCCGGGGGTCCCAGCGGCTTCTGGGGCGGTCGCCAGCGGGGGTCCCTGGGGAGAGTCCTGCCTTCAGGGTCGGCGGCGCCGGCCGTGAGGCCTCCGCAGTGACAAAATCGGCGCCCGTGGCGGGCTAACTTTTCGAGGCTGGTACATTGCTGACGATCCCCCGCCCTGTCACTCTCATCTGCACCTGCGGGGGATGTATGTGGTATCCAGGCATGTTTATTAATCGATGCATGTAGGCTGAGAGGAGAAGGCGCCCATCCTCCTCCTCCTCCTCCTCCTCCAACTCCTCCTCCTCCTCCTCCTCCTCCTCCTCCTCCTCCTCCTCCTTATCATCATCATCATCAGCATCATCGTCATCCCTCTTCTTCATTCGGATGCATATTCTCCAGATCATCCTTCCTGCTCCTCTTATTGATTACTCGATACTCCTCAGTCCTTCTTCGGAGGCGTCGCTCCTCCACCTCCTCCTCCTCCTCTTCTCCCTCGTCTTCCTCTTTCCCTCTCCTTCTTCTCCTCGTCCTCCTCCTATCCCTCCTGAAGCGCCGAGCTGGCGCACATTGCCTAGGCCCTGCCGAGGTCGGCGGACCCGCGCTGGCTCCGCGACGAGGCCCCGGATGGGCGCGAGCCTCGATCATGGGTGGGCAGGGGACGCGGGTGGCCTTACTGGCCATCGCTCGGCCGTCCATTCCCTGTGCTTTTCTCGGTTTCGTGCGTGGCTTTTTCGCCAAGTGATCAAGGATGCTCCTCGATGGTCCTCGCCGAAGGAAAAATTCCCACGTCCGAGCGATGCCAAGCCTTAGGGTATCGGCACCTCCCGCCCGCCCGCCTGCGGGGCTCGGGACTGTGCGGAGAGGCCTGGTGCAGATGCCTACCGCGCCTCCTCCCACGCCGTCTTTCGCCGGCGAGCGAGAGCGGGCGGTGGCCCCCCCTCTCCGCCCGAGGCGTCTGCCTCCTCTGCCTCCACAGGCACCGCCATGCCTCCTGCCTGGGCCTGCCTGGGCCTGCCTGCCTGCCTGCTCCAGCTCCTGCTCCTGCTCCTGCTCCTGCTGCTGCTGCTGCTGCTACTTCTCCTGCTCCTGCTCCTGCTCCTGCTGCTGCTCCTGCTGCTCCTGCTGCTCCTGCTGCTCCTCCTCCTCCTCCTCCTCCTCCTCCTCCTCCTCCTCCTCCTCCGTCGTTCTCGACCCGTCCTCTCCCGCCTCGCCCCCGGCCCACCGCCCACCTTCCCCGCTCTTGACTCCTACTGCTCCTGCCCCCGCCTCCTGCCTCCTCCTGCCGCCCTCCTCCTGTCTCCTGCTCCTCCTGCCTCCTGCCGCTCCTGCTTCTTCCTCCTCCTGCCTCCTGCCCCCATGCCTCCTCCTCTGGCCCCCATGCCGCCTGCCGCCGCCTGCTTGTTCCTCCTCCTGCCGCCCGCCTGCCCGCATGCCTCCTCTGGCCTCCTCCTTGCCTCCTTCCTCCTCCTGCCTCCAGGATCCTTCGGCCTCCTGCGATCCCACTCCCTCCTGCCTCCTCCTCTGGCCGCGGCCCGCAGGCGCCCCCACGTCGGGGCTCCTTGCAGTAGTAAACCGCGAGGCCCCACTTGGGGCCGAGCCTGCGCGTGGGGGGGGATGGAGGTTTCCGGGGGCCTCCTGTCAGAGAGGGGGGCTGGGGGAGGGAGGGGTGGAGAGAAAAAACGGGAGAGAGAGCGCGGGAGGGAGGGAGTTAGAGAGGGCTATAACCACATACATAAATACCTGCGCACACACACACACACGCGCACACACACATACATCTGATCTGTAGTAGAACAACGCGCTTAGGTTCTAGTCAACTCCGAAGACCTCATCCTCATCCTCCTCCTCATGAGCGACATCCTCATCCACTATCATGGCGGGCAGGCGCAATCCCGGCGTCGACGTCGTCGCCAGCGTCGTTGCCGCCGTCGTCGTCGCGGTGGTGGTTGAGGGAAGGGGAGGGAGGGAGAGAAGGAGAGGGGTGGGAGGAAGGCAGGTAGGGAAGAACGGAAGCAGACTGACAGAGAGGCAAAAAGGCAGAGGACGGGGAATGGAGAGAGGGATGGATCAACGGACGAGTAGGGACTCCTCCTTCCTTTCCTTCAAGTTCTTGATGTTTTGTTTTCTCCTCCTCCTCCTCCTTCTCCTCATGTTCCCCCTCCTCCTCCTGCTCCTTTTCCTCCTCCTCCTCCCCCTCCAAATCATCCCTCTCGTTCTCGCTTGCTTCACCTTCGTGTTCTGCCTCCGCGCTCCTCCTCATCGCCTCTCCCTCCTCTTCCTGTTTGCACATCCTTTGTACAAAACTACATATACATCTATGTGTATGTATATATACATATATATATATATATATATAGTCGTGTACGGAGGATGCGCCAGGGGACGTGTCAGGGGACGTGGCATGGCAAGGGACGCGCCACAGAAAAGGGCAGGGCAAGCGGCAGGGGACTAACCAGGGAACGCGACAGAGGACGCACGGCGTGCCGAATGTCTGGCAGGTTCTCGGTTCATTTCCGGGGGACTCCCCGTGGGGCGTCGGCTCAGCCCGCTGCCCACCCAGGAAGCTCGGGAAACTCCACCGCTCATTTGTCAAATCGCCTTCAGCGCTGCTACGATGACCCAAGATGGCCGCAAATATTGCCTCAAGACGCCTCCAAGACGGCCAAGAAGGCCCCGAGAGAGAGCCCAAGATGGCTGAAAGATAACTCCAACACGCCCCAAGATGCTGTCAAGACGGGCGAACATGGCTTCAAGATGGCCCGGAAAAAACACAAGAAGCGCCCAAGAGGCCTCTAAGACGTCTCACGAGGCCTCCAAGAGGCCCCCCAGGAAGGCCTGAAGAGGCCTAAATCATTGTCTGTTCTTTCGCGCGGAAGTGGCTGCCACAACCGACTCCGCGCGATTGTTTGTCCCTGGGTGCTTGAAGGATTTCGGCAGTTGCTTCAAAATTGCCTTCCGACGGCCCAAATACCCCAAGATCGCCGCAAGAGGCCTCCAAGATGGCCCCAGGACGGCCCAATAGGCCCCCAAGACAACCCCTACAGGGCCCCAAGACGGCCCAAGAAGCCTCCAGGACGCCCAAGATGGCCGTGAAGACGACACTGAAGCACCCCACGAGGGCCCTAAGACGGCCCAGAAAGGCTCCCGAGAAAATACCCGACGGCGTCAAACGGGACAGGAACGCCGCAAGACGACCAAACAGGCCCCGAAGAAGCCCCCAAGAGGCCCACGGAGTCCCCGCAAAGGCCCCCAAGAACCCCGCCCAGGAAGCCCCGAGGAGCCCCCAAGTATGACACCAAAAAGCTCCCAAGAACTCTCCCACTCCCTCTCCTCATCCTCATCCTTCATGCTCCTCCCTCCCCTCATCCTCCTCTTCCTCCCCCACTTGTTCCAAAAAGGGCTTCCACAACGGCTGGGGGAACGCATGTTCCAATAGCGTAGACAAACGTTGCACAAACGTCTGGCCACATAAGCGTATCCCAAACGGCCGTAGAAGACAGGGGGCGCTGGTAACACGACTGCGATTACTACCACGACAGGGGGTTGCGGTGACTCGGCAAACTACTACTACTACTACTACTACTACTACTACTACTACTACTACTACTACTACTACTACTACTACCGTGGATGTAAACAATTAACGCGAAACGTATTCATAACATTGGACTTCGCCATTCAAAGGCCGCGAGTTCCAGGTAGGGCAAGATCGGCAGCTGCCCGCGAAAATGTAAAAAATAAACGCGAAACACGGAAGCACTTGTTTCAACCTGGGGCCGTTCATGCCGAGCTTGCGTTCCATATCTTTGAATGGCGGAATTCAATGTTATGGATGGGTTTCGCGCTAATTATTTACATCCACGGCTGCCATTTTGTTACGGGCCCCAAGACTACGCTGTTGCGGGCCCCAAGACTACGCTAAGCTGGCGCATTTTCCGA